AAGTGTGTCTGAATTAGCTGGAAGAATTTCCAATATAACCGAAAGACTTAGGGTGTCACAGAAATTACAGGTATATAACTATAACATCGAGACATGGCAAGGACGATTTCTAAGACAAGGTGATGTTACTTGAATTAAAAAAGCTTTTTTCTACTTTTGTTCACATGAGAAAAGGTAAATATTTAACACATTGATTCTACCTTCCTGGCCTGCTCCTCAGCGCGTTCTTTTTTAATTTTTTCCAGCTCTGCGAGAAGGGCTGCAGTGTCATCATCGTCACTCTCCTCTTCGAAGTCTTCATCTTCATCTTCCTCCTAAGACAGAATGGTGATGGCCCAGGAGATTGGAGACAAAACATACATTATTCATTTTTTTCCCCATAAAAATTGCACTTATCAAATCTCTGGAGCATAATTAATTTTCCTAGTCGGACGGTAAATGTATCTAAATATGATTAAAATCAGCAACCAACCAAAATGCAAAACAAAATCCCACAAAAAAAGCTTACAACTCCTTATTAAAATGTCAACCTCTGACGTGGTTTAGACATTATAACAGCAAGTGGTATAATAAAGTACCTTTCAAATGTACAGGTTCAAAAGGGAATTTACATACAAAAATATTCCTAAAGCCAGAAAACGAACACTTTACACTAATACACAGTAAATACTTTGATGCTGGGAGTCAAAATAATTTTATACAGCTCCAAACAACCAGAAGGTTAAGGATAATCAAAAGTACAAAAAAAAGGGGCTAAATTCTCAGAAGAAAATAATTTCAAATGAATAATCATTAAACCTCACTTAAAATTGGGTTCCCTATCTTTAATTACTGAGTTAATTTTTAATTCAGTCTGTTAACTCTAGAATGGCTAATATATATGCTTAATTAGATATTACCCTTGAAAAGTCACTCAGATTTTTCCTCTGTATATAGAAATCTGCAAATTAATTACAGACTGTGTGGCCCCACTAAACTTTAATGTTTAAAGTTAATGCCAACCATTAAAAACCTTTCACTTGG